ACCAGACTCCTGGACTAGAGAGTGGCAATGCAAGCTCGCCCTCTTGAGACAAGAGCAAGAAAACACCATGTTCAATTAAACTAAGAGCATTCAAGAAAACTTTAACCAGAAATAGTCCAATACTACCCTTTCCACAACACTGAATATTAATATTGTTTTAAAAATAATTAAGAATGGAAATTCACTTAATGTGATGTTTTGCTGTGCAGTTATTTAAAAAGGGAGAATGGTTCTGATTTAAATTGCTTTCTTGATTGGGGACCATTTGTTAAAGTCTGTGTTACAGACTTTCCCAGTAACCTAATACTCAATATATGGGATTTTATAGTTGTGCTTGAGCATATTTATGTTTGAGTGCTTGACCATTAGGACCATACGTATCCTGACAAGACATACTGGCCTGCTGAATTAACTGTTCCAAATGGCTAATAAGCTTATGCAATGAGCATTTGGAAAAGGAATTATTACAGAGATACCTCAATGAACAGACACCCCAAGGAAGCAAGTTCCTTCCTAAAGAACCTGGCCACATACTGAAGAGTAAAGCATCCTACAAGACATAGAGTATGCTGGTTTGCAGCCCTGGAACAGGAGAGCAGTAGTCAGATTTCTTTCTTGATCGCCATGGAGCATATTCTCAAAGAGATTGGTCCCCAAAGGCTTTCTATTCTGCACTTATCCAATATCATCTTTATACCTAGTCATATCATTCTTTAGGAAATAAAAGGCAGGTCTGGAAAATCTTAGTAATTTCTGCACCACAAGTCAAGTCTTTGAACAAACACTGTCTTGGTGATACTTAGCTGCAGCCAACAGACCATAAGAACATGAAACTTACCTAGAGGAATCACTTATGTCCTAAAAATGGCCAAAGGAATCTCTCCAACCATCACTGAAAACAGTAGTATAACATAATGGTTTTAGAATCTTAGCATATGTAAGCATCATTCCAGAGCAGAATGCAAAAAACCATCCAGATTAATTAGATTCCTGAAAAGTGTAACCTCCTACTTTGACTTTTCTGGAACCACAGTACAGCAGAAACACTGCTAACATAGAAGTGAGGTCCTAGTCTAGCTTACCGAGTTAATCAGTTGTGAGGTAAGTCAAGTCACTTAACCATCCTGAAAATGTCTTCTCCTATAAAGTACAAATGTTGAGAATCCAGACAATCTTTAAAATCCATTCAAATTCTAAAGGTCTCAGAGGTACAACAAGTTCCGGGTCTCTCAACTCAAATGAATGTCTGATGCTCTTCCTGAAGCTTTTATAACAACAACTGAGAACAGAAACTGAGTCTTGATTGTTTTACGACCCACCATTATGCCACTGGTTACTTAAATAAATGAAAAGGACACTGGAATCTGAAGTTATGAAACTAATTAATAATAATAATGCTAAATTGTACTTTCTGTGTGCCCGACTCAGTTCTAAGTCCTTGATATATATTAACTCACTGATGGGGAAAAAAAGAAGGCAACAAATGGTAATCTGAAAACCTTGAAATCTGTAATGTAACAGGGGATTAATGCTGAATATTAAATTGTGACTAGTACTAAAGTTTTGGCAATACTTAATAATGAACCACATGATAAAATGCTGATAAAATTACGAGTAATAGGATAAAGGCCATGGAACGTGTAAGGGAACTTGGCCTCCTAAATTCTGACAATTTTCAACCCAGTAAAGAAGTATCTTAGGACCATCTATTGTCTACTGAGAAACCTGCAGCATTTAACACATACCTGTGTTTCTCCCGAGAACATAAGCATTCATCTTGATATTAATAACTTTATGAATTATGAATGCTTAAAATAAGCATTAACTGACCTCTAAAGTAAGGCTCTGTGTATAGCACAATGGTCAAACAGGTAAAGGAATGCAAATCCTTAAATACTTGGTAGCCTCACACTCAGCAGACGGGCTCTATGCATTTTGACACTTAGGTGCTTAGAGAAGGTGACAAAACAGAAGATTTCTGGAAGAACTCAGAATGGATTCTTCATTTACATTTACTAGAAAATTGCCATAAATGTACCACCATCCCAGGTTGTCAAGACAGTAACATAAGATACACAACTTTTTTCTTAAAACTGGAAGAGGATGATTCAGTGAAACAGTAATTCAATGAAGCAATGATTGGCCTATTCCCAAAATCAACACACAGACTAGGCATGTGTCAGAAAGACAGGATTAAATAATATTAAACTAATGCCACTCCACCCTGCACTACAATTGCAAGCTCACTCTTTCTGGGTGAAAAGTAACCCTTTTCAGACCGCAAACATACAGCCCAGGGGATTGAGGCTAGAAGATAAAGAAATAAGGAAGCCACACTCCAGAGGGACTAAGTCAAAAAGCTAATTCAGGAGACCCAGAACCGAACTCACCACTTTCCAATGTGCAGTCTAATACCAGAGTTTCTACCACAAAACAAACAAAACAAGGTGGAAAAAAAAAAATCAGTGTACTTGCTTTCTCTTTCTTTTCATCCATTGGTGCACAAGCACACTCTAGGCCAAGGGCCCACTACCTGGTTTTGTATAGCCCATGAAGAATCCCAAGAGTAGGTTTTGTATTTTTAAGCGATCAACAAAAAAAATATTCAAAAAGGAGTATTTCATGACCCACACATTATGTGACATTCAAATTTTAGAGTCTATAAATAAAGTACCAACACAGTGAATACAGTATATGAAGACTTAAATGTAGGATAATGGAAAGGGAATGAATGTGCGCTCACACTTTATCTGTTCAATTCACAGCAACAGGGTAAGTGCTGCCGAACAACAGGGAGAAGAGGAAGTGGTCAGATGTCACATCAGTACAACAATGCTGTGAGCACCAACAGCTCCACTTCCTAGACCTGAAGATCGATGAACACAGGTTTTCTCCAACTCTATGAAGTGGAGGGAAACACAGCAACAGACACCTTAGGCCACCCTTCAGGAGCCCTGTTCACAGAGCCTGGGACAGTCAGCAAGGATGCATCCCACTGTGTAGTCAAGCTGCTCACTCTCATTCTGGCTGGGTCTGACCTTGGGCTAGTCACAGCACTCTCTGAGGGTCTAATCCTTTTAACCTGGAAAAATGAAACGTGCTGACCAACTAGAGGAGCATTTTTCTCTCTCTCTCTCTCTCTCTCTCTCTCTCTCTCTCTCTCTCTCTCTTTCTCTCTCAACTCCTCTAAAATCAGAGGGAAAATGAGAAGAGAAAAAAAAATGAAGGAGCAATTTTTAAAAAAATATGGAAGTAATGCTTTTTCTTCTTTCTGACAGACAAGAAAAAATTAGGATAGCGGTAACCCTCATGGGAAAGAAAGCAAAGGGTCTCTGGCCAAGCAGCAGACGGTCTTCAGGGACAGTAATCACTACTACCATTAAGATGGAAGACTAAGAAACAGGCATTTGAATTCAAGGATGTGAGTTTGTTCCTTCCCTTTGTGAGGGGCTTCTGGAAACAAAGAATACACATGTACCCGTGCAGGGTGTGTTCTTTTTTCTTTCCCCAGAGACAAGAGCAACATTTGTCTGAATACTGCCTGGTATACAAGCAGCCGCCCAGGCATTAGTCATGAACATTATCTGTAATGAGGAGCGGGTTACAACAGTCCACACCTCCCTACCACTGTACTCCAATAAAATGAAGCTTGTTTATCACAGTTCATACACTTGAAACAGTTTGGGAGGGTACAGTTCTGTTTACCTACTGGGCTAACTCTATGAAAAGAGTTTGGAGGCTAGCATGTAGCCCTCCAAAGAGCAAAAACAGGGCCCTGTCAAGTCTAGGCAAAGAAGATGGACTTTTTGAGGCAAAATATGATTTAGTCTTATAACTTGATTTTCATCTTCCAAAGTTTTTTTTTTTTTCCTTAACCAGCAGGGACTCTAAAGCCTAGAACAATGTTTCACTCAACAAGTTTGTTACCTTAAGTTAACAGCTTTAAACAAAGAGAAAAAGGAACCTCAAGAACCTGAAAAACATTTTTAAAAACTTACTGAATATCAAATATAGAATTAACAGTGACCCAGCAAATCCACTACTGGGTATATGAAAACAGAGGTCCACACAAACTTGTACACAAAGGTTCCTAAGCAGTATTATTCACAACAGCAAGAGTAGAAACAAGATCAAATGTGGTGCATTCATACAATGGAGTATTACTTAGCAATGAAAAGAAAAAATATTAATCAACATTACGACACAGTTCGACCTGGAAACAGAAAGCTAGGTCAGAGAAGGTAGTCCTGAAATCCTACATGTGGTAAAGTTCCAGAAAGGGCAGAAGCCAGAGACAGTAGGAGATAAGGGACGTCCAGGAGCTGGGCAGTGGGGAAGGAGGGGCTGCTAATGCATATGAGGTTTCTTTCTGGGGAGATGACAATGTTCTGAGATCAAACAGTGGTGACCACTGCGCAGCTCTGAAATCAACAGATGAGGACAATTTCACCGTGCACTTTTATAGGCAGATTTTATAATGGATGAATTCTAACTCAATAAAGCTGTTATGAAAAAAAAATAGTGAACCAGTTTTGGTCACAAAAAACGACATGTTATGTAGTTAAGACAGCTAGTTGTAAACTCTAAGGTAAAAATCTCATTGGTGCTACCCGTTTCCATATTAATAAACAATAGTCAGGTTAAGGTTACCAGATCCCTTTTTTGTGGTAACTCTCATTTTGTGACACATTAATAAACATGAGGACAAACGAAAGTCTAGTGCTCACAGGGAAAATCTTTTTCATTATAATCTTCAACAGACCCATGTAGAAGGACCTGTTCCAAAACTATGCTGGGTGGCATGCAAGTTATGTGTGAAAGCTGAACACCACAACAGGGGCCCCTTCACATACAAATGAGACAAGAGAAAAGGGAGAGCATACTACTGTTGATAAAAAAAAGGTACCCCAAACAAACAAAAAAACCCACAAGGCTGTAAATCAGACACAAGAGACCAGGCTAAACACATTTTGTGCATATACAGACTCAACACCACTTACCGCCTGGGTCATCAGGCCTTGCTTCATATCAGGTGGGGTGGCTGCGTCTTTGACAGCCACCTCTGTAGAAGCCGAGCTCACCCCGGTATTACTCAGAAAATCCACTTCATCTGCAGCTTTCAAGTCTGGCATTTCTGAAGAGAACAAGGGGGTTACAAAGTGCATTTAAAAAATCAATTCCTGTGCCTTACTATTTACACATGTCCAGGCTTCACGTGTTTTGTTTGCTTTTGCATTAAATGGGAAAGTATTCATTTGGAGCTGTTGTCATTTTGTGCCCCGTGCTGAGCTATTCCTTTATCACAAGGTCTGCGTGGTTTTCCCCTGGCCTCTGTAGCTAAGCGGACATGCAATTCAATGTCTAATGAACTTCCATTTTCACTACTGAGTTTTCATGACACATCTGTGACTGCGGTGCTGACTGCATATGGAAAAGTAAATTCACAAGCTTTAAGGAAACACATTAATAGCTGGAACTAGGTAGTCTATCTTGATCATCATCAAAGCCAGAGATGTTTGTATCTGCATAGGACAAAGAGGAAATCTCTGTTGAGAATGAGATAAAGCTTTTAAGAAGAGTCTTTTTTTTTTTTTATAAACACACTACACATTCTCCTCTATCCATTGCTGCAACAGGTAAGAGTGAAGTATTCTAGTGAATTATATTTTTTATATTTTAATTTTTATTTCTTCCCCCTCCAGAACATAATCACAAACAAGGAATTCTTTCTTTAAAAAAATTTTAAGTAATCTCTACACTGAACGTGAGGCCCAAACTTAGAACCTTGAGACCAAGACTCATACCTACTGACTGAGCTGGCCAAACACCCCAAGGAATTTCTTTTCTTTGAGGAAATGTTTTCATACATTTTCTTGAGAATTATACTCAACCAGACCAAACAGTAGTGGTTTTTGTTACCTGACCACCATATGGTCAAGCAAATACAGGAAGGAAGTGGTAACATGATGTCTGAGGCAAATTTAGGCTTTGACATTTTTTTTTAAAAGGGGGCTTATGATTGAACATTTAAAATTCACCTTGATAATACAAATAAAAATAGAGCTATCATCTCAATTTCGTGTGGAAATTTTTCTGTGGCTGGTTTTAATCTGTCCATGTCACTATTTTGGCAGAAAAAAATGTTCCAGACACCAAAGGGCAGAGAAGTTTCTTTCACCAAAGAATCTCTATTAAGATTTTATTTTAAGACCACAATGTGACATGCCCAAAGGTCTACTTCAGATTTAGGAAAGTTACATTCCTACAGATAAGCATTTATAAATTCTTTTTTTTTTTTTTTTGCTCAAATTAGAATTATACAATCTTACTAACAATTAAAAGTGGGCAAGTTTCCTTGACCAAAGGACCAAAATCTTACATTTCATAAAATGTAAATAAAGTTAAAAAAACAAAAACAAAAACAAAAAAAAACCCTAAGCAATCACCGATCAAAAAACATCTTTAAGAATAATTTTTTTGGTGTTGGATGACTTTTATTTTATTTATTTGGGGATGTGATTTTTGGCACAACTTTATTATCCTATACCCAGCAAGTGAAAATATGTATTTTGGCAAGCAGAAACCAATCACAACCATAAACAGTGATTACTGAGACACAAAGGGCGCTGGCAACCTCTGTAGGTAGGCCTGGCCTGACTCAGTTCTGGACAACTAACTTTCCAAACCATCTGATCAATGCTCTGGATGAGCGAAGGGCCACATCCCCTCCTTCTAATTAGCAGTTTTGTGTTTTCTCATCTTAATTTCTATTTGGCTTTTTCTGCAGTAGCATACACAGAAGCCAGTGGTTCCTTCCCAAAGGTTAAACTGATGTCTCTTCACTTACATAAAACAGTTCGATTAAATCCATGAACCGAATGTAAACTTCCCAGAAATTACCCTTGGCTGAGATCATACTCAGGTGGTTTTTCTCTAGGGCAATGTGACCAGGGACTTTCCCCAATGCTGGCTTTTTTTTTTTTTTTTTTCCCCTGAAGAAAGACCTATCTATTGGTCACTGGCTACTTCTCTCTGTAACATTAGATCATGAGCACTGAACACATATGACTCCTCTTGGTAGCAGAACAAGTAACTCGTCCACACATATCAATCAACCCTAAATCCAGAGATACTGTTTAAACTTCATACGACTCATTTGCCTTCCTAAAATCTTAAAAATAACTTTTTAGCATCTATACCCTATCTACATACTACTAAAAATCAAAGTCAGAAATTCTCCCTGGTTTCTACCTTTTCTCTCTGGGTAGTAGAGACCCAAACTTCACATAATCTGCACTTTCTTGGGTTAAATTCGGACTACTGAGCCAGAAAGACAAATAATTCCAGCCTATGTGGCCAAAGACGCAGCACCCAAATGAAAAGAACATAGCCAGGCATCAGCTTACAGCCACTCCCATTCTTCTGAAATGTCAACCTGCCAGGGCCCCCAAAATAGACTTGTTGTTGTATCTTGTTTTAAAAATTAGAGACCTTTTCATTTAAATCCTGAGATAGTGGCTAACAAATTTCTATCACTAACAATCAAAAACATGCATAAAACTAAAACCCTCAAGTCACCAAAAATACTATAATACCTAAGGCTTCTTAAATTCCTTAACTGGAAAAAAAAAAAAAGATCATAAATGGTTAAAAACCCTTTATTGGGGGCGGGGGGGAGGACCACTCCATTGAAGTTGCCTAGGAAAAATAGCTCTTTTTCCTAAGCCACTTCTTTCTGGTTCTATTTGTTCATTTCTCTACATGCCCCACCCCCATACTTTTAACATACTACCCCCTTAAGAAGATTTTCAAACACTGGAAAGAACAGCAAAAACAAACAAATATTAAAAACAAATCCAGCGACTTCTTACCTATACAGACAGCCTAGAGGCGAGCATGGAGACTGGTCCTCTGTCTATACATGATAACAGGTACTGGCATCAAGGTACCAATCAAACCGACCTTTTAAGGACTTCAGGAGTCAAATACCACCTTGGACTCCAGCTTTAGCTTCAACCCTCCCAGAAGAAGTTTTATTCATATAGTTTATTTCTACCGAGCTCCAGCAGTTTTTCTTCGCTCTCTCTCGACAGGGTTCCCCACAGATGGAACTGGCTGCCGTGTGAGCAATCTGCTGGGTGCAGCTGCTTCACCAAGATAAGCAGACACGACGTGTGCCCTGTGACAGCAACTCAGTGGACTTGGGCGGACATCCTGCATCCTATCCCCTGCACTGCGCACGCTCCTGAATTCCCAGACTGCTGCCCAAAAGCAACAGGCAATGGAACTGGAAGTCGGCTCCATGGGCAGGAAAAGGAGGGTGCGCTCTTTGCGCCCCTCCCCTGTCCCACCCCAGCCCTCCCCAACGACCTAATACCACCATTTTGGATTTAGGGCCATCCGCGCATAGAAGAACTTACAGCTGTTCCATGAAACCACTCTGACTCTAAATTTGCTCATAAATACAAACAGGGAAAGAAAACTGTTCCAGGCTTGTAAGCAAAACATACTTTTCCAGCACTGCTTTTCACAGTTCTAGAAAAAAGTACTAAGCCATGTGAATAAAAACATCTGCTAAATTCCTTTATCATTGTAAAGCACCTGCAATCTAGACCATTTTCTTGGTTAACCAAATTGCAACAGCTCTGGCCTGGCAGACAAAGCATTTATAGGCTTAATCAATCAAGCCCAGAGTCTATAATACAGGAAGCAAAATCTGTCCAACCCTGAGAGGATGTGCCTCTCCTGACAGTGGTGACAATTAACTTGGCAACTTACCCAGTGAATGAAAGATACTTCTAAACCACAAGACACCTCCTTTTTACTAGCATATCTCAGAGGCTCTTAAGGGAGCTTATCCCTCAAACTGCTACATCTGTATTCTGCTTTGCTTACCTGTTGCTGGCTCAGATCCTTCAGTGGGCAGAACCATCTTCTCTGGCTCCTCCGTTTCAGCCAAATACCCTGCAAAGTTACCAGGGGCTTCTTCACAGATACTGCCCATGTGTATGGTCTGCACAGGCAGGAAAGTGCTCACTTGCCCTGTAGAAGCAACCTCTGGCTGCTCAGTCACTGGATCGGACTCTGAAGGACGGGAGAGTGACATGTGACTGATCTCCCGCCCAGTGATCAGTGCTCCTGAGAACCTGACTTGATCTAGAACAGCCTCCACTATGCGACACGCAGCCTCTTCGATGGAGTCGGCTCCCTTGGGCAGAGGCACAGCCCAAGGTAAAAGGGGAGTGCCCCTTGCCCTGCCCAGGGCCTGGTCACCACTACTTGAGAGTCCAGTCTCTGTGGGAAGCTCTTTGGCAAGAGGCTGCTCCAAGATGTGATGTGCTTCAGGATCCACCTGTGCCTTCCCGGAGTTGGCTAAGCAACAGTTGTTGTCTCGTTCCTTCCCCCTGAGGGGTACCATCTCTGGAGCTGCGGCACCCTGTAGGTCAGTCACACCTTCATCTGCTAAAGCTCCTGGCAAACCCAGGATCATATTCTTCTCCTGGCTCAAGACTTCTGGAATCGGGAGATCTTGGGCATTATGTGATAAAGCCTTTCTTCTGGCCCCCGCATTAGCTTGTAAAGCATTAACCACGGCAACATCTAACTCCACATTTCCACTCACCTCATGAGCAGTGTTTTTACCTTGGGATTCAGGGTTTTGCACTCCAACATCCAGAGCAAAAGATCCATTGCGAGAAAGAGCCTCAGACCCATCTGGCAACAGATCTGGCAACAGAGCAGAGCTGCTCTGCTCTGCACCCAAAGCTTCCTGGCTTGGGTCTGCAGCCAGACTTGCTCCCAGTGGCACCAGGCTCTGTGCAGCCCCACCTTCAGTCAGCAGCGAGACTGGTGGGGCCACTTCCTTGTTATGCTCCGTTTCTGCATTCAGGCAGGCCGAGGGTGTGCCCAATGAATTACCGTGCTCAAGTGCTCTGTCCTCAGCACAGGCAGCTGAGCCAGGCTCTCCACAGAATCCTAGTGCCTCCTGTCCTGGAGGTGGTGTTCTCTGCTCTTCCTGAAATGTTCCTGAGGAATGAGTGTCTTCCTGGAGAAAGGAACAAGCTGCTGCTTTATCCCTGCCATCTTGTCCCTGAGCTTCGGAGCTTTCTGGAACCACCAGATTTTTTCCTTCTTCAGTCAAAATGGAATCTGAGGCCACAGCGGCCTTACCTGCACATAACAGAGAAGAGTCAGCAGCCCCCTCGATGTCCAGAACTTCAGGGGCTGCTGAGAGGCAGACACTCCCATGTTCCCCACCAAGTCCCATGGGACTTGTATTCCCCATGCTGGGCTGAAGCTGGACAGCAAGGGAGGGTGTGGATAGGCCTGTGGCACCGTCTTCTAATGGCTGTTTATCAGAATCATTTGAATCTCTGCCTGGGCCATCTCTACCATCTGCAGCTGTATGTAGCTCAGGAGTTGCTATTCCCTTTTCTTTCTGGGAGGGGAAAAGAAAATGCGCGTCATCTTTGGTTACTGATTCACTGCCTGGAGTGCTTGCCAGAGAAAAAGTCTTGTCTGATGTCACTGCTTGGTCTGGTACCAGTTCTTTCTTGGCTTTGGGGACAACTGCCTGTGGATGCACCTCAAGCATATTTGTTGAAGATGTTCCTAATTTCAAATCTTCTCCCTGGCCCTTTTTATCTGAAACTTCAACAGGACAAAACTCTACCTGTTCCTGGGTATCTCTCATAGGGCCAGGGGTGGCTGCCTTAGCCTGTGGACCTTCACAGCAGAGGGCAAGGGGGGGATGCTGTGTGGGGGGTAGTCCTGGAGTGGTGCTTTCAGGCTGGGTAACTATGCCATCACAGTATTCTGCAGCCAGCATACCACTAGAAGTCACTGAGCTCTGCCCACATGCAAAGGCAGCACACGGTGTGCCCCCTCTGGTTGTAGAACAGATGGGTGATCTGCTGGTTTGGCTTTGAATGTGAGATGACTCAGGTTCTGATTTCTGGTTTGGCGCGTCTTTTTGTGGCCCAGGAAACGTTAGATCAGAGGGTGATGCTGCCGCACTTGTGCCTGTCAAGGGAGCATAAAGCTCGAGTCCATCTGAAGTCGTGTCTTCTGCGGCAGCTGGAATTACCAGGGAGCTCTGATCCATGGGAGCCCCAGCACTCCCTTCACAACTTCTTGAAGTTTCTGTTTCTGCAGTTTTGACAGGGGAGGCTTCTCCATTACTAAATGCAAGCAAAGACTCAGCAGGTTTGTCACCATCCGGGGAGCTGGTGGCAGAGACACAGTTTGGAACACTGGCTTTATCTGTAGTCTGACTTGTGACTTTCATGTCAGAGGATCCATCTGTGATGATATTAGAGTTTTCCAGCTTTTCCTTTGTACTTTCCCTGATTTCAAGCATGTTCTTCTGGATGGCAGCATGTGCATTCACAGGACCACTTTCCATCTCCCCTGGAGTCACTGGGATGCCGGCTGCCAGTTCACATCCAGAGAAATGCTGAGTGGGAGCGGTGGCCGGCTGCATGCTCACATCTCCCTGCAGGACGCGGTCTCCAGTGTCCAGAGACTCCTGGTCTGTGGCCAACGCAGAGGATTTTGTTCCAGTTTCTCCATTTCTGATTCCACAGGGTGGAAAGGTTCCCATGCCCTTTCCTCCACAAGCAGGCATGCTCGGACAGCGGCTGCTGGGATCAGACATGGTTCCACAGTCCACAGTAAGCGATGGCTCCGCCTCTTCCCCTTCTTTCTCCACGCCTTTAGTTTCCTTCTTACAGGAACAGTCTGTGTTCTCTTCCTTAGCCACACATGAAAAATCAGAGGAACCTTCAATCTCCCCAACAGTGCTCCCCTGGCCGCATGGAGAGCTCTCAGGGTCCTCAGGAAGAGAAGAGTGCGGCTGGCTGTCCCTGGGATCTGATGTGTAGCAAAGAAACTGGCCATCTGAATCTTGGGCACTGGGCACACTTGAAGGATCCTGTGCTGTCACCATTAAGGGCATAGGATTGTCCATCTGCTTCAGGTTTGTTTTCTAGGAGGAAATGAAAGATATTTGTAAAAACTTCCCATGGGAAAAGATGTCATTGACACCGATAAACAAAACTTCTGCTGCAGAGAACTCACTGCCATTCCAGCCCTCTGAAGATCACATGATAAGCTGACCTAAAGAAAATAAATACATTTTCTCTTGTTCCTGGTATCATTTTCCTCTCTTGTAGCTACATATCCACTGGAATGATAAAATGGTCAAGAATATGCAAGACGGCTATTCCCTAAACTATGAACTTATTTTAGAAAAGTAGATGAAAATCAGGCCTCAAAAATCTTGTTTTACAAAAGCACAGCACCCATCTTCAGCTAAGAAAGATATTTTTATAGGGTCTTGAGAGGAGTAGAAGTACTTCCATCCCACCTCACGTATACAAGTACCAGGAAATCCCAAGCAGTTTGGTCAAGTCTCGCCAATTTCAAGGTGTAGGCAGATGCTCCTGTGCTCTAAATTCTTTTTTTTAAGGTTTTATTTATTTATTCATGAGAGAGAGAGACAGAGAGAGAGAGAGAGGCAAAGATATAGGTAGAGGGAGAAGCAGGCTCCATGCAGGGAGCCTGATGTGGGACTCGATCCCGGGTCTCCAGGATCACACCATGGGCTGAAGGCGGTGCTAAACCGCTGAGCTACCCAGGTTGCCCTGTGCCCTAAATTCTTACTGAGAAGTTACATAGTGTCCCTTAATCCTCCAGACTGGCTCCATTCAATCCAGTTTGCCAGTTTTCACTACAGGTTCATAATTTAAAGAACAGTGGCATGACAGATATTCTTCGATAAAAGCAGTTCGATAAAAGCAGTTCCGCTGCTGTCTCGTACTGAATATAAAATAAGAACATATCAAACTAATAATATTCAATTCCTGATTATTCTTGGTTAAGTACCATGGCTTGAGGATACTATAGGTCATCTCAAAACCACTTTTTGCAACTTTAGAGTATTTCAAACAACAAAAACAGATAAAACCAACTATATGGGAGTGGTTAAAAAAAAAACACGGTTGGTCAACCTGATAGCAAATGTCATGCTGATAACTACGAAGACCACAATAAAAGCTGAAATACAGATTTATGATACCATGTCGAAATAAATAAATAAAACCCAGAGTTATGGACATGTAGAAAAAGGCTTAGGAAAAAAATGTGAAAAAAAAAAAAAAAACAGCTATAGCTCACCTTCAGGGTGGTCTTGCCTTTCTACCAAGATTTCAGAAATTCTTACAATACTCCTAATTTGTTCAACACATAAAAATTATTTTAAAAACCTTTGGTTTGCTCCTCCCTGTTCTCTGATCTACTGTGATAATTTCACGCATAACTACCGTGCATGGCCCTCATTCACTTACGACCTCAGTGTATCAGTATGGTGAACATTTACAGCTCTCCAACATTAGACCAGTCCTGTCTATCTACCAGGTCTATCGTAAAAGTTTACCCACACCACTGTAAAATGCGTTGTGTTCAACTAAAGTCTTTCTACTAAGAAAGTACAAGAAAAATTGACTTTCACTAAAAGCTTCTGTGCTATGCTCCTCAGAGTGTTCATATTTAGCATGTTCCCATCTCCTGAAGATCATGAAAGCAGGTCATTACATTTAACAACGGGTGAACATTAGAACAAGAGATTTGGGGAAACAAGCCTTGTTTCAGAAGCTCCTAACACACACATCCTGTCACAGTTTTAAGTTCTCACAATTTCCTATCAAATATTCTCATATCACACAGTAACTCTGGCACCTGCATGCTCATGTTTTCAACTAGATTGTCATTCACCTAGTAAGAAGACCTCCCAGGGAAAATCGGACTTCTTAGCAAGCTGTTCAGAGGGAAATTAAAGGACATCTGTCCTGGAACAAACATGACTGAGAAAGGGAAAGGCAGGTGTATCAGAGGACCCTGCCATGAAGCGTCTTGGCCTGTTGGCCTCAAAAACAATGCCTGCTCCCAAAGAAGCCTCTGGTACCGAGCTGACCCTAGATGACCTTAAATGAAATTATTGTCAAGCTTTTTCCAAATCAAATCAGCTCTGAAATAAACTGGGTGGAAAAATTATCTAAACTTAGCCTTTCAGATGTTATGGCCAAGAGACATGTACCCATATGACGTTTATATTATCCATAATAAATGCAACCAGGGAGTCTGTAATGTTTTTACGTCTGGCAACAACTTTATCTTGAAGGCTTGAGTGGATTATAAAATCTTTATTTTTTTAGTGATCTTTTTACCATACAACTATCAATTTAAATATAGTAACATTATCATCACTCATTGAAATAGTTGTGAAAAGGCTTTATTTTTAAGTAAATGTGGTCCTGCTCTTAGCAACAATCTCAGAAACTGTTTTGCTCATTTAGTTTTATAAAGCTAAACAGACAAATTTATAAACAGACAAATTCCCTTTTATGCCAAGAAAATTGAGTTCCAGTTGTTGCATATTTCTGTATCTGCTGTGTGTATATGTATCTTTCATTATTTCAAAACCCTGGCAAAAAAAGAAAGAAAAGAAAGGAAGAAAAGGCTCTCCCAGTCCCCTGTTGCTGTTCTGTATCTATAAGCAGTAACATCTAACACTGCTGAAACGGCTTTAGGTTTTACAACCTTTGAGGAAATGTTCTAATTATAGGAAGAGTCACTGGGGGGAAAAGAGAGCACAAAAGCCTGAAAATGGACATTTTCTTCCTTACCATTAGCTGCTGCTGGATGTTCATAAGTTTAAAAATATGTCCAGTGCAACTGTTTCCAGGAACTGAGGGTTCATGATGTGATTTGGACTCAGAGGTTAATGTATAGACGTCCAACTCTCGATGATGCCTCACAGAACAGTCTCCATATGGGATTTCATAGGATAAACTGCTCCAGGAGTCTGGTTCCTCAGCGTTCTCCCTGCAAGCAAGCAATCTCTGGTTAGTCTATGGATGTTCAGCTCCCTCCTGGCAGAGAGTTTACCTCTCAGTCTGTAGTAAAATCTCTGACCTCTCTGTTCTGGAGGCTCTGCCGCAGAAATCTGGTTAATACAGTTTCCCAGTGATCCAAGCATATAACTAACTGTTCCATCTGCCTCATAAGAGGTCACAAATGGATTAAATGAGAACTGCAGGATTCCTCCCAAAGAATATTCTTTTGATCAAGATAAAGAGAGGTCTGGGAGCTTGAAATAGTTATTATGCTAATAACCAACTAATGAATAAATGTAAAAAGGATGGTCTTAGCCTGGTTTTCAACAGAAGCAAGGCTTATATTAAGCATTTCACTTAAATTGGGTTGCACCACATGCTAACTGCAGTTGATTAAATCAGAAAGAGAAGAAAGAATCATTATATCCCATATAAGGGCACTCCAACTTTTGTTAACAACTCTAAAAGCCAACTATATAGACTAAGACTGTGATGCCACATCATATTATACTTGTCAATACAATTGTGAAGAAGCACTTGGTTCTAAGAACTTCAAGTTAAAATTTTTTTAATTTAAAAAATGAACAACCTTGCTCATCATAAACATACTTCATCTACAAGTAAAACCAACAAAGGCACAAGTATGCAAAAAAAAAATTTATGGGACAGGTCTTAAAACATGAAATCTCTTTATGAACCAGTAGGTTGGAAAACTATCCCCAAGATTCTGGAAGGAGGAAGAAGTTTATATGTTTGAGATCATTATATATTAAAATGAAACAGATAATTGAATGAAAAAAAAAAAACAAGAATTAAGCATGAAGAAGTAACAGACATGGTATACACTGACAAATATGAAAGGGAAACCTTCTTTGCATTGTTTTATTTATTAAATCATACCTGTCTGTCATTAACAACTTACCAGATAGTAACTGGAATTTCAAACTAACCATATGCTATCTATGAGGCCTAGAACTGAGTAATCATGGGCTAGCTGAACAATGAAGGATGCTCCAAAAGTAAACTATTGTAATGTCCATCCTCAAGAGTGACATCCTAGCAGTTAAGGCTTAAAATGAACCTAGCATATGCTAAGCTAAGTCATTTATGTACTAACCAAGCTGTTCTACTCTGTGTAAAGTGACCTCAAAAAAAAAAAAAAAAGGGACTGCTGACTCTTGAGCAAGGTGAGTTTCAACTGCATGGGTCCATTTACACACAGATATTTTTTTTTCCCTCTCATAAATACAGTATAGCTCTGTAAAGGTATTTTTTCCTCTTATGATTTTGTTCATCTTTTCTCTGGCTCTGTGTTGTAAGAATATACTATATAATACACATAAGACAAAATCTGTGTTAATTGGCTGTTCATGATACTGGTAAGGCTTTTAATCAATAGCAGGTTATTAAGTTTTTGATAAGTTGTATGTGGATTTTTGACGGTGCAGGGGGTTGGCCCTTGCATTGTTCAAGGGTCAATTCTACTTGTAAGATAAGTCACTTAAAAGTTCAGCAATGACTCAACTAAGCAGCCAACAGCTACACCCAAATGAGTGGGACATAACTTCTCTGTAAATTTAGCTTTGAGGCTTGGGTTGACATTGTCACTAACTTGGAGTCATTAACTATCTGTACACATAACTAGCATATCTGATTACTTGGGATTACGATACCCGTACGATAATAAAAAAAAAAAAAAAAAAGAAAAGGCCTTTGAAAACAAAACCTGATTTATATACCCACCACTCCACCGTGAGGCAAATACATGGGAGAGGACTGTCTGCCAATACTGGGGCAATTAAAAAGGGACACAATCCATTCCCAGTAAAATGGTGTTTTCTACCAAGCTTGCCACAATTAATTCTCCAACTGTTTCCTTTCTACTATCTAAACCTTGAGAAGTTCCCGTCTGTGATCACAAACTATTTACCTTCTACTGCTCCCATGCTCTCCTCTCCAAGAGGAATGCACTTTTTGTTGTCACAATTACCCACCAAGTGCTAACCCTTCCTCTCCCAATTCTTGTCTCCGTGAATTTTTGTTGCTTCTTACTCTGTCTAGATACCAGAGACTAGTCAATGCAACTATTCTCTTACTGATTTCATGAATATCTGGTGCAACTGACACTCTTCCAAATCCATTTGACCTGCGGGTCCGAGTAAACCTTGCTATTCAGCCAATTATTTATGGGCTAGGTATTATTCCAGGTGCTGGAGATACAAACCAAAATTCTTATCCAGTTGGGAGTTTACATACTTAGCAAGGGAGATAAGACCAGTCAGATTAAATAAAACATCTGGCATTTTTGAGCAGAACAAGTGCTATGGAGAAAAATAAAGCAAGAGGAGGGTTGCAACTTTATTTTTATTTAAATCTAATTCATTAACATACAGTGCATTATCAGTTTCAGTAGAGGTCAGTGATTCATCAGTTGCATAACACACCCAGTGCTCATTTCATCATGTGCCCTCCTTATAGCCCATCACCCAGTTATCCCATCCCTTTCCCTCCTCCCCTCCAGCAACCCTCAGTTTGTTTCCTAGAGTTAAAGGTCTCTTACGGTTTTGTCTCCCCTCTCTGATTTCGTTTTATTTTACTTTTCCCTCTCTTCCCCTATGATCCTGAATTGTTTCGTAAATTCCACAAATGAAATCATATAACAACTGGCTTTCTCAGACTTATTTCACTTAGCATAATACCTTCTAGTTCCATCTATGTAGTTGTAAATGGTAAGATTTCACTTTTTTTGATGGCTGAATAATATTTCATTGTATATGAAATACTGTATGTATAAACCACATCTTCTTTATTCATCTGTCAGACATCTGGGCGCTTTCCACAGTTTGGCTATTGTGGACATTGCTGCTCTAAACATTGGGGTGCAGATGGCCCTTTGAATCACTATGTATCTTTGGGATAAATGAGTAGTAGCGCAATTGCTGGGTCACAGGGTGGCTCTATATTCAACTTTTCGAGAAACTTCCATACTGTTTTCCAGAGTGGCTATACCAACTTGCATTCCCACCAGCAGTGTAAAAGGGTTTCTCCTCATCTTCACCAACATTTGTTTCTTGACTTGTTAATTTTAGCCATTCTGACTGCTGTGAGGCAGTATCTCGTTGTGGTTTTGATTTGTATTTCCCTGAGGCCAAGTGATATTGAGCATGTCTTCATTTGTTGGTCATTCATAGGTCTTCTTTGGAGAAATGTCTGTTCAGGACTTTTGCTCATTTCTTGACTGGGTTATTTGTTTTTTGGGTGTTGAGTTTGATAAGTTCTTTAAACATTTTGGACACTAGCCATTTATCTGATAATATATTTATAAATATCTTCTCCATTCTGTAGGTCTTTTGGTTTTGACTGTTCCCTTTGCTGGGTAAAAGCTTTCTATCTTGATAAAGTCCTAATAGTTCATTTTTGCTTTGTTTCCCCAAGAGTTGCAATTTTAAATGTGGCAGGCCAGAAAGGCCTCAAAGAGGTGGCTTATTATTTTTAAGATTTATTTATTTGAGAGAAACAGAGAGAACAAGGAAGAGGGTCAAAGGAAGAGGGAAAGAGAATCTCAAGCAGACTCTGCACTGAGTGTGTGGAGCCCGATGTGGGCTCAGGACACTGACATCATGACCTGAGCCAAAATTAAGAGTCAGATGCTTAGCGAACGGAGCCACCCAGGCATCCCCTGAGGGGATGCTCTATGTCTTTTGTGCTCTGTGTTTAGCACTATGTAAGATTTGTCCTTCATCCACTAATAACATGTGGCAAAGCTCCAGACATAGGAATGTTTACTGCAACTTTAGGTATAATGGTTAAAAATGACACCACCAGGTCAGTAATTACAGGGCTGTTTGGTAAACTGAAGAACAAATTTCTGGACTATTATGTAGCCATTAAAAATAATGGAAGTTAACAGTTCAGAAACACAGAAATTTACAATGTCCAGGGAAATAAGCAAAATAAGTGTAAAAACTTAGGTAAGTTTAGATGGCAAAATGCACAAATAAAAATAGAGTCACAGTGGTTGGGCTGTAGGTTTTATTCTTATTCCCCAAGATTTTAATTAATGTTTTTAACAAATTTTTTAAATTTCCCTACTGAGCCAGGACTCACTACTTCTCCAGAATGCTTTTAGTCACTTGTGAAATTATACTTTCTATAATGTCCCCAAAGGCCCAAACTTAACTTTGTCTACTTCATTCTTAGGTGACCTTTTTGCCTTTCTTAGTGAGAAGCTTAAGGCCACCTAACATGAGTTAAAACAATCTTCATCCACTAATAATTACCTCCGCCCAACCCCTCTAACGTCAAGAACGCCCCTTCTCAACAGTGGGTTTGCTCTGTTCCCCCTACCCTTCCTGCCAACCCAGATTGGGTAATCCGGATGCCTACAGTTTTCCACACACTTCTGGACTAGCTCTGCCCTCCCAAGTGCAGTTAAAACACTAGCAGGTAACAGATCAGTGGTGGAAACAGAAGGGATTCCTACTGCCTGCATACCCGGGGGGGGGGCGGGGGGAGGGAGTAGCAGGAGCAATCTGCACTTCATTCAGCAGACCAGATCTCACGGAGGAATCCGGCTCCTGGGAGGCATCGGATGACATGGAGACATTTTCTTGTGTTCACAACCTGGGGGTACTGGGGAGGGGAGGCGGTCCTACTATGCACAGGTCAGCTCCCCCACCACGAGAAACTGTCAGGCCCAAATCATCAGTAGTGCTGAGGTTGAGAAATGCTGCTGTCAATGCACTGATGTACTTCATCTGTCCTCCTCTCCCTTCCGCCTCCTTACTGGTTATCCAAAAGCTTCAAGGCTCTGCATTTTGGCCCTTCCTCACTCCAACTGCTACTAAAACCTCTTTAGTAGGGGTCCACTGACCAGAAAACCCCAAATCTGGCAGCCTTTCTTTGTCCCCATCACCCTTGAGTTTTGGAGAATTTTAAAATAGTGACCAGATTCTTCTGCTGAAACTTATTCTCACTGGACACTCATCA